ATCCTTCATTCTTTTCTGCATCTCCCTTGTCCGTCCGTCACGAGGCATCCTCCGTCTCATTCCTGTCGTCCTGTCACTCGAATCATCACCGCTTTGTTGCCTGAGCCGCATCGCTTACAAAACTGTCCCAAACCCAAGCCATCTCAACCCCAGCCCAACCTCGTCACGTCACTTCACTTTACGAAGACACTCGGCGCTCGACACCGCGCCCGCGCCCTTTCACCAATTTGACCACCCCCTGAAATCGAGCGCGACTGCTCCATGCACCGCCAGCGGTAAAATCTTGCGTCGATCTAGGGTGCTACTGCTGTGTGCGTGCTGCTGGACATTCCTGGACCTGCAGCGCACCCTGTGATGAAAAATGGTCGAAACTGAACCCGGAACTCCCACATGGAAGTTCACCCAATGTTTTGGCGATAAAGGAGATGTCGAAGACATAACAGAAGCAGATATCATTTCCACCGTCGAATTCGACCACACTGGGAACTATCTTGCAACCGGAGACAAAGGTGGTCGCGTTGTCCTTTTTGAACGAAATGAGACTGTTAGTGAAACTTCATTGCCCGTTCACTGTCCACACTACTGACATCTTTTCCCAACAGAAAAAGACATGCGAGTACAAGTTCCATACAGAATTCCAGTCCCACGAACCAGAGTTTGATTATCTCAAATCCCTCGAGATAGAAGAAAAGATCAACAAGATCAAATGGTGCCGACGACAGAATGCGTCTCACTATCTTCTTTCTACAAACGATAAGACCATCAAACTCTGGAAAGTCTTTGAGAAGTCCCTCAAAGTCGTCGCTGAGAACAACCTCTCCCAAGACCTCACCCCAGCAGGTGCTGGTGGTGGAGGGGCACCTCGTCCTAACCACATCCACTTCAAGGATGCCTCTCAGCTGAAGCTTCCTCGAATGACTCACCATGATACCGTCGTAGCCGCAGTTCCTCGACGCACGTACGCGAATGCACACGCTTATCACATCAATAGCATCTCTGTCAACAGCGACGGCGAGACCTTCATCAGCAGTGATGATCTGCGCATCAACTTGTGGAACCTGAACATCCAAGACCAGAGTTTCAACATCGTTGATATCAAGCCAGCAAATATGGAGGAGCTCACTGAAGTCATCACTGCTGCCGAGTTCCATCCACATAGCTGCAATTGGTTCATGTACGCAAGCTCAAAGGGTACAATCAAACTGGCCGACATGCGTGAGAGCGCACTGTGCGATCACCATGCTAAACGTGAATATCCCCTCCCCAACGCCTTGCACAAACTAACATTCTAGCAGAGTTCGAGCAAGAAGAAGACCCTTCCTCGCGATCCTTCTTTTCCGAAATCATCTCCTCCATTTCCGATGTCCGCTTCTCACACGATGGCAGGTACATTCTATCAAGAGACTATTTGACGGTCAAGATTTGGGACGTAAACATGGAGAGACAACCCGTGAAGACTATCCCCATCCATGAGCATTTGAGGCCTCGTTTATGCGACACGTATGAAAACGATAGCATCTTCGACAAGTTTGAAGTGGTCTTCAGTGGTGACGGGAGCAATGTCATGACAGGGAGCTACAACAACAACTTCATGATCTATCCCTCAGATCCTGAACAAGAGACGGAAGTGGTCCTGCAGGCAGACAAGTCGGCCTTCAAGGCTAAGAAAGTTGGAGTGCCGACTCCCATTAACTCGGCCAGCCCTAACGGTGCCAAGAAAGGTGGTTCAAGAGCAGGCAGCCCTGCAGCAGGTCAAGGAAGCAGAATGAGAAAAGAAACAGACGCCGACCAGATCGATTTTAACAAAAAGATCCTGCACATGAGCTGGCATCCGTTTGAAGACAGCATTGCTATTGCTGCGACGAACAACGTAAGTTACTGTCCATTTTGTGAGGCGATCCCGTTGGTATTGACAACTTCCTTTAGCTCTTTGTCTTCTCCGCTCTCTAGATTTGTTCCGGAATGATCTATGCGCGACTGTCTACCAGCTTTCGTCCTGGCAGCCGCCTCGTGCATTGTGCTGAGGTTGAACGAGGCGCCTCCCTCGCGCTCCCAAAATATCAGCGCCTGGTTTGCACATGTCGGAAGGCGCGCGATTGGCCGAGAGACGATGTAACTTTGAACGACGACATCATGTGGGTCGGCAAGGTTGAAAATGACCAGCAACGAGTGCGGTGAGGATTGCGGGCCGTGAAATGAGTACTGGAGACGAGCAATGGAGGGGGTGGCTGATTCTGCACATGTGTCTTTCTTGTCAACAAGGGTTACACGTATGCGACCCGAGCCTGGGCTTCTTGGATTTCACGATCGACTTTTGCAATGCACCGAGCTGGGACAGAGGGGAATCAAAGAATAGCAATGCAGGTTCGGGAGAATGGAAATGGAGCTTGATCTCTGAGAACGAGTCTGCGAGATGGAAAAGCGATTGTCTGCCGAAGAGACAGCATCCTGTGCCACTCTCTTCCCCTGACACGTTGCAGCAATTCTAATCCGAGCCGCGTGACTCCTCCAGAAAAGACCACTTAATCGAAATTGAGCAAGACAGACAGAGCTGAGAATCAAAATAGCAGACGAGAAGAAAAATGAGAATAATTGAGTACCAATAATGACGGAGCCACGTGAACATGACTTGACACTGGTAGGCGGGTACATTGATTTCTACGCGTATCGTTACACGATGGATTTCTCCCCACGTGCTGCTTTTACCCTATCAACAGCGATCGTGTCACCGGAGGTGTCCATTTCTTAGTGATGGTACAGTCGCCATATGAGATCTGTCTAGAATCCGCAGCGGTGGTGGCAGTAGAGTGTATGTAGATAAAGTACAGTAGAGATCAGGGCCGGTTATCCCCAAAAGACTCCAACCCTCTTTCGACCGGCGCCGAATTTGAAGAAGATTCAAAGTGGCCATCCGCCTCGACGGGTGTTTTGGATCCCCCTCCTGTCGTCCCGTTGACCCTCTCTGCGTGTTCCCTCTGGACTCTGTCGAGCTCCTGGCCGGCCTCTTCGAGGCTACGCTGGATGTGCTCCTGGCTGTGCTTGATCTCTGCCTTTTCCCGCTCGATGTCGGCTTTGCGTTTGGCGATCTTTGCTCGCTCGTATTCCAGCGCCGAGACCATGTCGCGCAGGCGAGCCAGACCGACGCTGAGTTTTGGGATCGGCGTAGTCTCGCGCGGCTGGCGCGGACGGGTTAACCGGCGTGTGTGATCGGCGTGGGCGGCGAGCCCGTCCATGCCGTGGTGTGTCTGCGCCAGCTCGTACTCTTGCCGCCGTTCGTAGTCCGAGTCGGAAGCAGAATCGCCCCCGTCTCCGTCGGCGGCGGAGTCGTCGGGACTCGCGCCCTCGGCTTCATTGATGAGATTCCGGATCGCTTCCTTCTCCTTGCGGCTCTGCTCGCGAAGGCCCTTCTTGGAAAGCGTGACGCGCCCGCTATCCTCGACAAAGTCGTCGAATCCCTCGGCGATGTCCTCGTCTTCGCGGACCAGGCGCGTGTCCTTCTCCCGCGGCGGTGCCAGGTACGACGAGACTTGCATGCGGCGCGGTTTGAACTCGCCGTCCGAGTCGTAGTCCTCCAGCGAAATAAAATCTTCCGACTTTTCCGCAGCCTGCTGCTCCTTGGCCAGGCGCGCCCGCCGCTCCTTCTTCTCTCTGATCTCGGCAGCGCTGGGGATGTGGGGGGATAGCGTGGAGGATAGAACTGCCGTCTTGCCGAATTTGCTTTCGAGGTCGAGTGCTAGATTCGTCGTCGTCGACGGCTCGACCAGGTCCAGCGACGGGCTGTCCCGAGACGACAGGTCGCGTGGGGTCGAGGGTGTCGAGTTGCGCAGCTCATCGAGGTAAGCCTTGTTGTATTTCGGTCTATCGTGGTTCTGGCCTTCACCATCTCGGTCTTCGTGCTCCCTTCGACTGAGGATGTCCTGCGCGGCGCTGGAAAGGCCCAGTCTCGTGGCCGATTTGTTTTGTGGTGTCGTAGCGGCAGATGTTGCCGCTTCCCCCGTTGCTGCCCCGTCCTCCTCGCCCGGGTTGAACGAGACTCGTAACTTGGATTTTGTGCGCGGGGCGTTGTGCGTCGGCCGTCTTACAACGGGACCCGTGTCTAACAAAACTCGCCGTCAGCGGGGAAACGATCACAATCACGCACTCGCAACACACACCTCTAGATCGCCCACAGAAAAGTGTCAGATACGGTTTTTACAACGTGCAGTGGACATTTGATTGTGTGTGTGTGGGAGAGTTCGCCTCTTGGGACGTTTGAACGTACCTTCTTCGCCGTCATCCGGTTGATTGTCTGCCTCTTCGCGCGCAATGCGTTTCGGTTTCCGCCGCGCGGTAAAAAGTGATGCCATGGTGGGAGAGATATTAAGGAAAGATGGTGGTGAGGCTTTGCTCAAATTGAGGGTCTTCAAGAGGAGCGCAAGGTCTAGTCTGGATGGGTTACAAAGGCACGCAGGGTATACAGATTGTAGAATTGAAAGTTTGCGGGGAAGAAATAATGGGAAAAAAGATGCTGGAGTAATGAAGAGTGTCTGACGGAAAGATCTGGGTAGAGCTTTGCTTGGAATCATTGATATAATTTCTGTCTGACAGTGCTCTTTTACCATTGCAGGTAAGCAACCAGGCGACCTGGCACTTCCTATTCGTCACTACATACCTACATAGGTATTTCATGGTCCTAGGTACATGAATTATCCACCATTGTGCTTTACCTGTGCCCGTACTTCGGTGTCTCTGTATGTGCACACACTATACAGAGTCCAGAGTGCCTTCTGAAATGGGCTTCCAATCAAGGTTAGGAGGCCATCACAGGCTTCGCGCCTTGCGCCCTTCCGATAATGGCGCCAAAGTCGCCTCGGATGATACCTTGTTGCTTGGTCCACTTTGGTACAACGGAGGAACAACACTACTTTAGATGCTGAATGGCCGCGAGAGCGACGCTCGAACCGAACAACATACTCTTCTTATCTTTTCAAAGTGGCGGAGGGTTCTGATCCAGAGTCACGATGGACGCAGTTATCTTGACACCGCGGCTGAAACTGATTCTGCTGGACAAGGCCGAAGCAGGAAGCAAGGAGTTCGAATGGCTGCATCAGCTGCATAGCGACGAGAAGACTACGTGGTGGAGGTAAGTTCTTGCATCCCCTTGACTGTCCCCGGGTTTGTCTCCGCCGGAATTTCCATATTGTTTGCTCCTGAATGTGGTCACTTCTCGATTTGACTGTGTGCGAACGGAAAAGCATCCATGGTCGGGCGAAGTCGATCGAGGACACGCAAAGAATCTCTGGAGGCTATCTTCCCACCAGCAATACAGAACCAGAACGACCAAAGAGCTATCGGGTCGCCTATGCAGTCCACAGGATCCTTGAGCCGACAGCCAGCTCCATGAAGACCGAACCACAAACTATCGGGCCTGGAGTGGATGCGACAGAATCCATTGGTCTTATAACCATGAAATCGGTGGACAGCGGCCACCTTGCTTTGCCAGAGAATCTCACCATCCCAGCTTCGGCTGCAGATACAACTTTGACTGTCGAATTGTCGTACATGTTTTTGCCGACAGCGTGGGGGAAAGGATACGCCACCGAGTCGTTGAGGGCAGTGTTTGAGTCCTGCAAGAGAGCGCTATCATTTTGGAATCCTTACAAGAAAGTCTATGTCAGGGCGATTGTGAACCAGGGCAATCCACTCAGTATGCGGGTGATGGACAAGACTGGGATGATAAAGCGTGGTGTTTACGAATGGTCCGCAAAGCCCATTTTCATCGGCGGAGAATGGCGAGAGCACCATAGTCTCCATATCTTCGGGATGCATCTGATCGAGTGAGTGCCGGGGAGGTGAGGATCAGCAGCAACCCATGAGGACATTGCACGATACCTCGTCCTAGTATACCTTGGACAGAGCTGATGGGGTCCCCCTTCCCATTGAAAAGACACAGGGTCATGTGGTGGAGGGCTCGAAGAGATGCCAACACTTTCTTGGACTCACAGTTTGAGGGCCGACGACACAAACAGAGTGAGATTGTGAGGCCAGAACCGGCTACAAGATACCAAGGGATTACATGTACTTGGTCCACATGTAGAATACATACAAATACATGGTGGTGGTGATGGAGGCAGCGCTCCGTCGCCGTCCAGGGCGGCGATAGCCTTGTCTGGAAATAGCCTAGTCCGACAAAAATCTTGGCCCTGAGATTTCTCCAACTGCGCATCTTCGCGGGACCTCAAGACACATACAACACAAGAGACAACACGAACGTCGACGACTATTTCCCCTCTTGCGGCGCCTCTACCTTTATAACACCCTCTCTGCTTCAAATCAACCGTCCAGTCAGCAAGCAGCTCGAATCCTCCACCGCCGCAACCATGCCTCAAGCGCAACCCGAGCTCAAGAAGGTAAACCCCTCCGTCACTCTCTGTCGCCCTTCCTCGCCCTCCTCCACCCACCCGCGCTTGACATTCCCAATTGTTGGCTCTTCCACACAAAAATGAAACGCGCTCTGTGGCTAACACATAGTGTCACTTCCGCACAACAATAGTACATGGAAAAGCGCCTGTTTGTCCAGTTGAACGGCAACCGCAAAGTCATCGGCGTCCTGCGCGGCTACGATGTATGTATTATCCACAACCTTTTTCTTTTTCTCGACAACCCAAACCCCCCCTTCCCAACTACATTCAGCCATCCGCTTCACATGCGCCGAATAATGGAGCTACGTCGACAAGGGCGATGCGCGCAGCGACAAAAAGAGAGAGAGAACGGATTGATTCGCTAACACTCTTGGCCGGCACGGCGTTTTAAATACAGGTCTTTTTGAACATTGTCCTCGACGAAGCTGTCGAAGAAAAAACCGGCGGCGAACGCGAGAGGTTAGGTATGGTGGTCATCCGTGGCAACTCCGTTGTCATGCTCGAAGCGTTAGAACGCATGGGTGACGATCGACGATGAACAACGCGATGCCCGCGCAAGGGGACAGCTCATGCGAAAATGGAGGAATGAGGTCTGGAACAAGTCATCACAAATGCAACATCCGCTACGTCTGGGAACTTTTTGGGGATCATCGCCTCGAAGTAAAACGAGCGCTCCGTTATTATTGTTACATGTCGATCTATGAATGCGGATTTACGCAAGGGTGACCAATCCTCTCCACGGACACTCTTGGCCAACGGGCGCTCTCGCCATGAAGACATCCAACCTCTTTCCAACTCACCTCTCCGACTTGTCAAGGCTCAAAACATTCCAGCCGAGCTGCCTAATGTTGGGAGGAGCTTCCGTTTTCAGCTGGTCTTTTGGGAATCTTGAGAGTAATACGTCCAGCTCCCCCCATAAATGTCTGCGGCTTTGGAGCTTGCTTTTGCTGCGCTGTCTTAGCGTGATGGGCAATCGGGGGTGGTGTTGGTGTTGGATTTGACAGAGAAATCGAAGGTTGACGATTCGGGCCTGTGGAATGACCGTCGATGTGACCCCCGCCCACCTTCAACTTCAGCTTCAGGCCGCTTCCTCCTCCGATACTTGGTCGTGATTGCGGTAATTCGGGACGGGGAGCAAAGACCGCAGTGGGAGGTGGTGGAGGCTGCCATCTCAGCACGGGCTTGTTGCGGACTTTTCGAGTCTCAGAGAACTTGAGCTTGCCCTTCAATGGATAAAAGCCACGTTAGTGCCGTATCCCGAAATTATCAATGTAAATACCAATGAGATAAAACTCACCTTTCCTAGATTCTGCACCTTCCAGTATCGAGGCATTCGTAGTGAAACTTTGACCTCGTTGACCGGCTCGTACAACAAGCGGCAAAAGTCGAGTAAAGTCTGTAGATCCTCGAGTGTGATCTGGTCGTAACAGATGGCATTCCACAGGGCCAATTTCAGAAACTCATTTTGACCAAGATCCTCCCTCAACGCTTTCACCGCTCCTCCCAGCGTCTGCCGCCTGGAAAGCTCTTCTTGCCGCTTCGAAGGCTCCTCCGTGTCGGCTGCGGCTCCTTCGATAATCAGAGAATCAGCAGCCGGTTGTGCAATGCTGGTTTTCTCGCCAATCGCTCGTCTTCCGAGGACCTTGCCGAATGTGCGCTGGAGGCTTTGTCGGATGTAAGGCGACGGATCAGCGACCATGCAATACAGCACATAGCGCAGGATGGACGGGTCGTCAAACACCTTTGGTGTGACCAGGACGTCATAAGCTGTCCGCCGCAGCATATCGAAATTCCCGGGCCTGGTGTACTGTAAGAAATGCAAGGGTGAAAACTGGCCGATCCCCGCCGCAGCGAGCATCGCCTGACACTCCAGAGCAGTTCGGCAGTACAGGTTCTGGTATGAACTCGTCCACTCATCCATTCGGCGGTACCGGTCAATCTCGTCCAGGAACTGACGCTCAAATTCTTTCAGATCGTGAATCTCGTCTTCGATTTCAAAGTTTTCAGCAATATCCCACTCGCTGTATCTGGGTCGTGCAATGGCCGCACCAGTCAGCGCTTTCATTAGTCGAGCAACATAGAACGCGTCGGAATAGTCATTCGCCGAGTTGTCGTTATACTTTAGCTTCTCGAGCAGGAAGTCTCTCACTTCTTTCGGGGAATGTCCTTGACTGTTCCGGACCTCCGCAATAGCCTCGATTATTTCGCACTGCAACATGTATGAGAGTTGATCAGAGAAGTCGTTGGGCCGTGTCAAGGCTGAAGTTTGATCTGTGGCGCAATAAAGTTCTTCGTAGGCCTTCCTCAAATGAAACAAGCCTATGTTGTCGACTTCTTCTGCAGCATGCCTAACCAGGGCCTTCGCCGCCAGAGTCCGGACGCCATGGAAATATCGACGATCCATCAGAGTGCGAATGAAAATGGAGGAGGTAGTTGCATCCGGTGGATATCGTGAGATTGTGCGGATCGATTCTATCTGAGCCACGACATCTCGGTCTTGTTGTAGTTGGGATGCGTACATGTACCCTGGCATGGCCAGGTTCATGGTGCAAATCCACTCAAAGTCGGCATCCAGTCGAATCCATTCATAGGATTCGCTGTTCATCCTGTCTTCTTGTTCGGAAGTCCACTCCTTGATTCGCCAATTCGCCATCTCCTCCTCAGTTTGCAGCACGTCACCCAGACAATAGACGAGAGAGTCATTCTCCTCTTCTCCCTGTTCCGTGTTAACTTTAGTGTTCGCGCGAGCCCTCTGCTTCTTGCTTCGTTTGAGGCGCTTGTATTTGGTGTTGTATGGGACTTCCATGACAGTATTGGCGTCCTTGATCTGCACAATATGTTCGTAAGGAGTACCATCCGCTTCGTGAATCCGAATCGTCATCGGCCCGGTGAATACTTGTTGAGCGGTCGCAGGCCACACTCCGTAGAAGTCGTCGCGGGCATCTCGCATGAAGTTGTCGGGATCCAGATCCCGCACGGTTTCGCGTGAGGCCTGTTCTTGTCGAATGCTCATCTCGACGACCAGCTTTTTCTTGTTGAATCTTTGCTGAGCGAAGAACCGTGGGCATCCTGCGCCTTTGACCCACTGGGCCAAAAAGTCATCGATCTTGTCGTGGCCCATCCTTTCAGCAGTCTTCTGGAACAACTCCGTCGAGAGTGTATTGTTTTCTAGATCACCCGTTCGAGCCTTGGTAAGGAGCTTCGCTAAGATACCAGGCATTTTGGATGTACCCTCTTTCTTCGCTATGCGACGATCCAAGATGAACAGCACAACTGGGGCTTTGATTGCCAAAAACTCGGACTCTTTCGGGTCAACGTAGGTAACGGCGCCTAAGTCGTAGATCGAAGGTCGTTCATAGTCTAGCTCCACAACACGATCTGCTTGTTGCTTGATATAAGCCCGGTATTCGTTGTTACCGCAGAGTTCTCGCATGAAGAGGTTGGTGATAAAGTAGGCACCTCCTACGATGACCCAATTGTCTCGAGGATTCTCAGCAACAATGTTGACACCAATCCACTGAGAGACAATGGCATATACCAATTTCCTCGTAACCTCCTGAGCAGGGTCGATAACTTCTTCCGGGTACAAGATTCTAGTGCTGCAGATTGTGACACCCGCAAAAATGGAGACATCAGAAGGAGCATCTTCGACAAAGCACATGGCATAGGATCTGACGGGGCAGGATATATATTTCTGGACGACGTAGTCCATGGCCTTGGTTGTTGGCAAGCAGGTGTTTCTGGTCTCCTCTGCTCGTCCAGGCAAGCAATACGCTAACATCTCAACTGCATTGCGGCCGATGTCAGCGACCTCTTGTGCATCTCGAAGCTCACTCAAATCGACCTGCTCAAAAGGTCCGATTGCGAAGCCGATCTGCTGCGGCGCCAGCTGCTGTGAACAGGAAAATGACATGGTCTTCGTCGTAGGATCTCCTTTGTCTAAGATCTCATCGGTGAGCTCACCCGAGCAGACCACGATCATCTCTTTCGTGCCGTAGGTTTGGCGAGACGGTGGCTTTGTGGCTTTGTTTAGATTGCGCTGTACACTATCGAGTGACACTGCTTGGTCAATAGCGTCGCCCACAGTCCTCGGGCATTTGATAGAAATGTCCCATGTGCATCGACTATTAATTTCGTCCACGCATGGAAACAACGGCGAGGCACCACCAGGGCCCAGCTTGCTTCGAGTATACGCATGAGGCCAGCGACCGTTCCCACCCCTGCCAGAAACGAAGTGCACAGTCTCTCGTGCATGACAGGACTCAAACTCGATTATTAGCGTCAAAGGGGTGAATTTCGCAGCAGTGGCATCTGACAGCGCGTGTGTGAGTTCGGTGGCAGAAGCACCTTGAGATTGTGGATCTGTGATCTTGATGGAGCCAGCAGCCTGGGTGTGCACTTCTGCGACCGCGACTGGCACAATCTTCAATCTCTTTGGGAGGCTAATGGTGATATCCGGCAACGGCTCCGCCCCAACCGATCTCGCCACCTTCTCTGCCAGAACGTGGTGTTGATAGACTGTGCCATGAAAATGGAGCGTAAGCTGATCGCAGGGATCTTCATGCCGTACTGAGGATGGCGGGATGCCGTTGACTAGAACCTTGTTGATTGTACATTGTCGGCCGTGCAGGCTGATCTCTTTGAGGTCCGTAGAGTCAGGGTAGATGGTGATCTCGGTCCTGCCTCTGATATATTGGCTGAAATTGACATCAAGCTCAACCTTTTGATGCGCGACGGTGAATGATGGTTCTTGGATCACGGGCTGTTGATCCCCTTGAGGCTCCATGGTGAGGAGAGAGGCGAGGATGAGAGAGTGATGATGTCGCGACGCATCATCGGCCACGCTTGCGCCAGTCTACCAACCACTTAATATGAACAATTGTTCATTTGTCGATTTCCAGGAGTACAGGCGGAGATGAACCATCGCAGAGACCGGGAGAGAAGGCTGATCCAAGTCAGGAGTCGGAGGGATGCGACGACTGCGAAGTGAATGCCAAGGCAGCAGCACGTGTCAGTCAACAACAGTGAAGGTAAAGCGGCGTCAAATTCCAGGTCTTGGCATTACGTTGGTCGCGCTTCTGCCGACTTCAACAATTTCCTTTCTCCCTTTTCCCTTCTCCATTGCTAGTTTGGTTCTGAGGATTTCTCTATTGGAGGCCCTTTTCCGTCTTGTGAGCATTTGACAGTCATGTCGAGCATCAGGATAGACCGCTAGTCCGCTTCTCTAACGCTTGTTTTCTCAGTTACCTTTTCACTCCCTCTTGTCTTTTTAGTCCTTCAGCGCGTTCCTATATCTGCATTGGACTCAGGGTTAGAGCCGCAAAGTAACAAACCTGAATCATGGTGGAATCGGGTAGGTTTTCAGCGTTTAGCTATTCTTTGCACTCTAAGCTCGTTCTCGGTCCAGAAAAACTCATGATCCTATAACAGAGGACCCTCTCTCAGATGAGGCCATGGCCCACCTGAAGACCTATAAGTACCAAAGTGTAGACGAGTCGTGGATATCAAATCACATCCTGCGCCACTACGTACGTCTTTGAACTCGCTTGGTCACACGTCCACATCAGCTCATGGGTTAATAGTGGAATGCCGCTGTCAAGCTCCTTCCCATGTGGCTTGCCCCCAACATGGTGACGCTCTTGGGTTTCTGTTGCATCTTGGTCAATATCCTGTTGCTGTGCATCTTTGTTCCGGATCTTGTGGGCCCGGCACCACCTTGGCTCTGTTTCAGTTTTGCACTGGGCTTATGGATGTACTCAACAATGGACAACATCGACGGCAAACAGGCCCGCCGAACCGGCACATCCAGTGGTCTTGGAGAATTGTTTGATCACGGCATCGACTCACTCAACTGCACGCTGGGCAGCCTGCTCGAGACGGCTGCGATGGGCCTGGGCCATTCCAAGATCGGCGCCTTTACAGCACTCGTCCCTTGTCTGCCCATGTTCTTCTCCACCTGGGAGACGTACCACACTCATACTCTCTTTCTCGGAGCCTTCAACGGTCCGACCGAGGGTCTGATCCTTGCATGCTTTTTCATGGTGGTCTCAGGCGTCGTTGGTCCTCAATTCTGGCAACATCGAATCGTCGATTATATTGGTCATCCGGAACTATTCGGTGAGACGGTCTTGCTCGACCTTTGGGTCCCCGTCGTCCTTTTCGCCTTCTTTGTGGCCCATCTGCCTTCGTGCATATACAATGTTTACCTGGCGCGAAAACGACAAAACCTTCCGCTATGGCCCGTCTTCCTCGAATGGATCCCTATGATAATCTATACCGCCTCCGTTTGTGCATGGTGCGGATCCCCTTACTCAATTCTCCTACAAGAGAAGCATCTCATCATATTCTGCCTAACGCTATCCTTTGTCTTTGGTCGGCTCACCACAAAGATCATTCTCCACCACTTGACGCGTCGACCATTTCCGTACTTCACTGTCGCACTGGTTCCATTGGCCGGCGGGGCGATAATGGCCTGGCTTCCCCTGGTTGGACTTGCACCAATCCCCGCCAAGTACGAAAGGTGGTACCTCTATGGCTGCTTTGCATTCGCCATGGTGCAGTATTTCGTATGGGCGGTGCGGGTGATCAATCGCATCTGCGAAGTCTTGGACATCAACTGTTTGACAATCAAGAAAAAGACTGATCAGAGGGAGCAAATTACGTTCACGACCAAGGAATTCAAGGCCAAGGGGTATGAGAATGGAGACCTGAGTCAGACGAAGAAGGAGTAGCAGGACATCTTGGCTTCCGAACGTTCTGCCAACAAGATGTGGCAATTATTGCAGAAATACAAGCGTTCTTGCGCTGTTTTCAATTCAAAAGTGGCCTCCAGGCGAGGACAGGTACATCAAGCTCCGTGGGGGAACTGTGGTCCGGTTGTACAGCAGGATAGATCTTAGGACAGGAAAAACGAGACGGGTCGCAGCGGAGGAAGACCAGGACAGGCTGGAACAGCCTCCCAAAAAGTGTTTTGTCCAGTTAGAAAAAAGCATAGAGCCCATTTTCCTTTGCTCCCCGCCATTAGGGGTTCACTCGGGCTTTTGATCCTTCCACTTCTCCTTCAATCCCTGGACGTCCATCCCACACAAGACAGCCTTCTCGACAATACGCTCGGCCTTACCCTCGACGGGCTTGTCGATCATTTTGCCGTCCAGACTCCACGCACCCTTGCCCATCTCCTCGGCCCTCTTCTGCGCGATGACGATCCTGACTGCCCACTCAACCTCCTTGTCGCTCGGGGAGAAGATATTTTGGACCGTGGCCACCTGAGACGGGTGGATGCACTGTTTCCCGTTGTACCCCATGCCCTTGCCCTCCTCGCACTCGCGGACGAGGGTCTCCTGGTCGGCCTCGCCTCGGAAGGCCGTCGCGACCAGGTCCAGCGTGGACGGGAGGTTGTACGCGCGCGACGCGGTGGCGATGAGCTGGCGGGCGTAGAGGAACTCGGTGAGCGACGGAGAGCGCGTGATGCTCATGTCGAGCGCAAAGTCCTCGGCCGCGAAGACCAGGCCCTGCAGCAGGTGCGGCGCGGCGCGGCAGATCTCGGCCAGGTTGAGCAGCGACTTTGCCGACTCGATCAGGGCCAGCACGCCCACCTGGCCCTTTTGCTGGAGATGTTCCCGGGAGCGCGCGTGCGCGAGCACGTCGCTGATGAAGGTCAAGTCGCTGGCGCTCTCGACCTTGGGCACGACCAGCGTCGTCAGGTTCGGCGACTTGACCACCTCCTCCAGGTCGCCGAGCGCCAGTCCGCTGCCCACGCTATTTATCCGCACCGCCCGCTCTTTTACGCCCGTGGGCAGGTCCTGGTCCAGGGCCTTGCGCACGAGGATCCGGGCCTCGGCCTTCTTTGCAGGCGTCACGCTGTCTTCGAGGTCGTAGGCGATGCAATCGGCGGTGAGGGAGCGGGATTTGTCGAGGAAGCGCTGTGACGAGCCAGGGACTGTGCAGAAAAAGATTTAGCAGATGAGCATACAGAGTTTTTGAAATGTCAAATAGCTGAAATGGTTAAGAAGTTACCATAGAGCACTGCTCTGCGAAGGACGTTCTTCGCGGCCATGGTGAGAGCTGCTTGTTCACTTGGCTGGTACCCTTCTCCCGGGAGCTCTCTACACTGCAACCTTCAGTCCGGTCGAGGAAAGAGATCGACGCCAGATGAGAGTTTCAGAGGAAATAGGCCAAAAGCTCCCCCCGAATGCTCGAGGTTTCGCGTCGGAAATGCTGTTTTCTCACAAAGATGCAGGACACGGGTCGGGTCATATTCCAATGGGCTGTCAAGTTACTCCAACCCCCCGACAACGCCGACGGGTGAGATGCGGGGAACACGTCCCGGCTTTGCTCCGTTATCGGCTGTATTGGCATGGAAAAGGGTTCAGCCTCGTCCGAAATCCTCCTAATTGCTTTTCACTATGTGGACTCAACTTCCTCAATGACTGGCTTCTATCTACTATCTTGATGAAGACGGAAGTGAATTCCGAGGGGCTAGAATAGGCAGTCGTATAGCTCTACCTACCTAGTAGGTATATATTCGTACGAGTTCCGCCTCCTGTGTAGACCCCGCTTTGACCTGGCACAGGGGTTCCTCGAGTATCTAAACGAGCGTGCCTCGTCAGAGCACTCGTTTCACCGCGGTACAGAGTAGCGAATAGTTCCTGATTTGACTCGATCCTTTTATTTGAAGTATGGACGAGCTTTGACATTTATAGCAGGTGGACTAGACTAGGTGCCGGTAGTCGGTATCTGACAATGCTCCATGAGGTATGCCACTACCTGTTCACTGCAGACATTCTCCCCTTTGTTCCCATACTCGCCATTCTGACTGCCTTGACGATTTCCCCTAGGCCTCATATCTCCAAGTAGCGGCTTTTAACATGCTGAGGAGAACTTGATCAGCAAGAGCTTCGCCAGAGTTGACAATATGGACTGAGAGCTTTGAACGTACTAACGCTACGCCCATCAAGGTCGCGCTTGCAGCCTCCAAGAACAGGAGCGCCGCAGGTAACAGATTGGATTCCGCTCACGTTGATAATGGAGCACGGGTCGGCACTGCTCTTACACTATAAGCTCGTCAGTCATTCGATCATCTCCAGATTTCTACATCTGGTGAGACTTACGCCGCCGGAGGTGCAGCTAGCAGTAAAGCCTTCGAGTGGACACGAGCAGACATTCTGACCATCCAAGCAGTGCTATACCAGGTTGTGTTAGAATCTGGGGTCTTTTTTCCTTCTTCTTCTTCGGGGGGTTGTAACCTACCCCGGAGCAGGAGAACTGCTCTGCTCGAGGGACAAGTGGGTTTGCCTGGACAGCCGTGGCAGCAATGCCGGCAGCGATTGTGAAATAGATGGAGAACTGCATCTTGGTGACGAGAATCGATGGCGAAGTAGATTAAAACCTTGGTATGGAAGCTGCTGTTAAGTGACGGGGACAGCTCCCTTTACTCACGACTTTATATACACTACTCCTGGGCATTTTCCACGGTTGCTTCATGTATCACGTTCCTTTAATCCTGCTCACTGTAGAGGTGACACGTAGTTCGAGCACCATGCCTGATTGGCTAAGTGAGCCTCCACGCGAGGAACACGGTCTGGGTTCTCGACGGCAATACTTCTTCTGGTGCTTCATTCCAGCCGCCAACATTAGTGCTGCGACCCTACAATCCTTTCACGCGCAGCTCTGCTCCCTTGACGGGATATATTGACCCTTCCTCAGCACTAAGACACGAGATTAGCAACCTAATGAAATGGAGAACGAGGTGACCAGCATACGCAATTCCACGAGGAGCAGGGGTCCTCTGAAACTGCATCGGATTCTTCCTGCCAAGGGCGAGGTCTTGACTACATTTCGCTCCATTCCTCTCAATGAAAGATCCTCTCATCTTGTGGAGGATAGCTTACGCTATTTACATGCGTGGTATGCCTTTCTGAATGTGGCAGCTGGAAATTTCCTACATCAATCGCTCCCTGACAGAGCCACTGCGCCAGAAGCACAACCGTCGCAATGTTGGGTTCAGACATTGCCCGGGCTGAGGACAACGAAAGCGCTCATATGCTCCCTTTGGATCGAGAAACTCAAGTCTCTCCTGAGACGTCTTCTCACCTTCACAGACGGCATAGAGCCGCAGTCCTGTGTGCGCCTTCTGCGTGGACAGTCATTGCGGTGATCCTTCTCCTCAGCTTACTTTGGACAAGAGTCAGTCGGAACGATTCATGTTGCCCCCAGCGAAGAAGTGTTACCGTCTCGCAATACGGCCGGAACAGAGACTACATGAGTCTGAGCCATGACTTTGACAGCCTCTGGAATGAGCTAGCAGATGAGACACAAGGGTATGTGAACGCCAATGGCACCACAGGCCTCATCACCATGTAAGTGTCTTTTCGTGCCTCAAAACCCCACCGCCAGATATTCCTTCATTCGGCGGGCAGAAGCTATGTGACAGATCATGACATTGATTCATAGGTACCACCAACTTCATTGCTTAGCGTCCCTGAGGCAGGCACTGCAAGTTTGCCACGACGGTCAAGACATCGGTATGGACTGGAGAGACAACCTCCACTGGCCGCATTGCCTGGATTACCTCAGAAGAGTGGGTTCTCTCTATCCTCGCATAGTCTTTGGTTGGACGAAAGCTGACAGGTATGCAGACCCTCCTGTGCCACGCAGATGACCAAGTCGAGATGCCCAGGGAGGCCGTGGTCAACTCGACCCGGGTCCTCTTGATCGATGGCACTGAGGATGAAAGGCTTTGTGGAGAGCTGACCAAGCCTTTGTAGCTTACACACATGATGGAAAGAGCCAAACAAAGACTGGAACCAAACGCTGCCGCCCCTTCCGACTCGTGGGCCTTTGCTCCGGATCGTCATATTGTCGACTGAAACGCAGAGGCTCCCAGTTATAAGCCATTTCAGGAGAACGGACAAAGGCTTGTGAGAGGCGTCCAGAAGCATGACGGTGGTGGAAGACAAGAGCCAAGATCCAGAAAAGGCTCTCTCATGAGTTCCTGAACCAAACAGTAAACAAAATAGCCTTCCGTACCTCCCTGTCTGAGAAATCAACTTCTTCTTGCCCGTATGGATTTACTTGCCTTCCAGCGAAGTACTGGAGACAGCACCAATCAAATACAAGTGTCACTCTCTCCAGGCCTCTCCCCGTCTCCTGCCGGGAGGGCAAAACAAGTCAGGGCGAAACTGAATATCGAACGCGCATGAAGAAAGGGGGAGGGGGACGACACGACTTCGAGGACCTTCATGGCCCAAATTCAAAATGCCATGCTGAAACTAGTGTACGAGTAAGCACAGGGTTCATTGAAAATCTCGGGAAAGATAAGTTCGTGGGTTTTCTTTTTTTGTTTTGGCTCCGTCAATCCTTCGCGTCCTGGATTCGCTCGCTAGGAGCTCGCACGGCGATACATACACGTTGTAGGGATGCTACTCGTGGGTTCTTGTTCCGACTTGTGAACTGATCCACTTGACCTCGTAACGAAGTTTTATAGAAAACATCGAGTACGTTTCAATCCTTCGCGCAATGATCGACAGGAATCTAGCCCACCTAGGAAGCTAGATACCTAGATGTCTAGATCATCTCGGGTACTAATGTCCCTGGCAGCCAGGCCAAAGCGCTTGCAGCACAGGCGGGGCCGGACGTCAAATATTGGGGTATGTGCCGTATAAATACGAGTGTACTTACATCAACGACTACCAACCAGCCTGGCCTGCGGGTATGATTCCTTTGCTCTAACCCGAGCGTGCCCGAGTCCGTCGAATCCTGTCTGACCTGTTCTGATACCGTCCGTGCGGGTGCTATTCCGCAGTCCTCATCGAACCTCTGCATCTACAGTACGTGTAGGAGTGGCCAATTCAGTACCCTTCCCGCCGAAAGTCTCAGTTCAAATCGGTGTCTTCGCCTCTCAACACGACCCTACGTTATACTTTGGCCACTTCATCTCTTCCCCCCTTTTTTTTGGTTGGGTCGAATACCGAATCTGCAGACTAATGGAGCCGGATAAGCCGAGCAAGTGGCACCATGCGGTTGTCGTCCTGGCCGTCCTTTCCATCGGCATGGTCTCTCTCCTGGCACGGTTTCTTGGAGGA